TGTTTTAAAAACTAAATGAGAATTTTCCTCTAGTCATTTTTGGTTTTGATTAAAGCGGTATAAACACTTTTTTTTCCCTGACACTGCTCATATTCATTATAGGGCCTCGTAAATGTATTTTAAAATGATAATATCTCTCTTCCAAAGAATAAGTACACGCTAAATTTTAAGATTTCTATTATTTTTAATATGGATTATTATTTTTTTGGGGACGGAGGATGATGGGACTTCCGGCAGTGACATACAAGATGGATTGGAAACAGAGAGAGAAAGGGGAGGAGAACAGAGTAGGGGGAGGAAAAGAGAAAAGAGGAAAGAGAGAAGAAGGAGAGAGGTGCAGGGAAGGTGTCTTTTCTTGTCCTACTCAAAGACATACTCATTACATATATAGTACTGCACTGACTATGGTCTCCTTTACAACTTCCTATCTGATTAAACCCATGACTATAATAATTTAAATAAAATAAAGATAAAATAAAGAGACAAATGTTTAATCATATATAATCTTGAAATTTGTTTGAAGGCTTCCTGATGCGCATTGATCTTTGTCTTGGGCCTACATCATTCGCCCCCTCTTCTAGCAGAACCTTGTCCTCAAGGTTGAACTGAGGAAAGTCACATCAAAAATCTGGTAAAGGCTCCCAAGTAGCATCACAAGCTGGTTGGTGCTGCCACTGCACCAGAACTTGTGTAACAAACTGGCCTTAGTTAGAGCACTTTACGAACACCCCGAATTTGAGTCGGCAAATAGACCAGATGATCATCAATGAACACTGTGGGTAAAGGAGCATGGTCCTGTGGGCAAATAGACCAGATGATCATCAATTAAGAGATGGAAGTATTGAACTGGGTCGGCTAAATGGGCAGACCGTTAAAGTGGCCCAATAGAGATACAAGACAATGATGGTTGTTTTAGACCTGTAAGGTGAATCGGGCTCCCTCAGTAGTGAAACTCCATCCACAGATTGTGGTAATCAAACAGAATTGGGCCAAGGCCCGCCAACCACTGGACACCCAAGACAATGTCTGCTCCAAAGATGGGTAAAACATAAAGGTCAATAGAAAACAAAGCCTGTTCCAAGTGTAACGGAACTTGTTGACAAAAACCCATACAACTTACTATATCACCGTTACCAATCGTAACCCGTAAGTGAGGCGACAGTGTTACCGCCAACCCGAGGTATTGAGCGAGTCGGGTTTGAACAAAATTGTTGGTGGATCCAGCATCAATGAGGACAACTAGGGGTTTGCCATGGATTGAACCACTCAATTTGAGAGTAGATGGTACAAACTGACCAGTCAAGGCATGAAGTGAAATCTGAGGGCCTGGCTCCAATGAGATCTCCGGTGAAGATGGCATGGAGTCTTCAGATTCGGTGAGATTCGAAAGAATCTCGTCACTTTCTGCCAGCATACATAAGAAGAGTGGAGGCTTACAGCGGTGGCCAGGGGTAAATGGTTCGTCACAGTTATAACAAAGCCCTTTTGCGCATCGTGCTGCCATCTCGGTGGATGTGAGGCGTTTAATAGGAAGAGTTGTCGATCTGGAATTAGGGGTTTTTGGTACGGTCAGAGTTGTTGGGAAGGTGGGTAGTGGCGGGAAGCCAGAAAAGGGGAGTAGGGTTTGGAGAACAAGTGACGTTGAGACGCCAGACGATTGGCGTTACATTTGTCCTCAACCAGTTTTGCTGTACGGACGGCAGCTTGTAGAGAAGTGAGGTGAAGGAGGGCTAATTCCCGCTGAATATCATCCCAGAGACCGGAGATGAAATAGTTGAGGAGGTTGGAAGGGTTTAGGCCAGGAGTTAAGGTAGAGGTGGCTTCAAATTGGGTTAGGTACTGAGAAACAGATGATGTTTGGCGGAGTTTATAAAGCTGGGCTTCATGGTTCACAAATTGGGAGGGACCAAATCGGAGTTCTAACTGGTGCGTAAAGGTTTCCCAAGAGGATAATTGATCTGTAAGGTGGAGCCAATGAAACCACTGAAGAGCAGCTCCGTGCATATAAAAAGCGGCGATGGGAATTTTTTGGTCATTGGGGGTGGCATGAAAGGAGAAAAATGTTCCATTTGGAAGAGCCAACCTCCAGGGTTTTCTCAAGTGAAAAGAGGAACTTCGAGCTTAGGTGATTTAGGAAAAGAACCCGAAGAGAAAGGTGTGGGTAGTAAAGGGAGTAACGAAGATGAGGTGGTGGCTAGTGGTTGTGGTGGTGGCTTTGGTGGTGATGGTGGTGGCGGCGGTGGTGACAAGCGAGAAAGGATGTCGTTGATTGAGGCTTGAATAGATTGGAGGAGATGAGAATGATTATCCACTGTTTCCTTTAATTTATGGAAGTCAGGGAGTTGAGAAATTCGGTCGGAGAGGGCTAAGATCTGGTCTTCGGTGGTTTTGGCTCGGGTAGAAGGCTTGCCGTCAACCATGGTGAAGGGGTCTCTCAATGAAAGCACCAATGGATGGGGCTTCTGGCAGTGACGTACAAGATGTATTGGAAATAGAGAGAGAAAGGGGAGGAGAACATAGCAGAGGGAGGAAAAGAGAGAAGAGGAAAGAGACAAGAAGGAGAGAGGTGGATGAAAGGTGTCTTTTCTTGTACTAATCGAAGACATACTCATTACATATATAGTACTGCACTGACTATGGTCTCCTTTACAACTCCTATCTGATTAAACCCATGACTATAATAATTTAAATAAAATAGAGATAAAATAAGTAGACTAATGTTTAATCATATATAATCTTGAAATTTGTTTGGAGGCTTCCTGATGAGCATTGATCTTTGTCTTGGGCCTGCATCAGAGGAAGGATATAAAAATAAAGTGAGAATTTACTATAAAAAATCTGTATCTAAAAAATAAATGTAAGGGAAAAAAATGGTAATCGCATACAAGTAACATTGGACCTCTCATGTCAGCTAATTTTTAAAATTTTTGAGTCTGAAATTGTGTGCTCAAATTGTTACAATATAGTTTGTTCAATCGACATTGCCAAGAAAAATATTGGGTCTAATTGCCTGAAATCAGATAATTGCCGTAGAAAATATTTAATTGCCATGAACTAGTTCAATTTTTTTATGCCGAGAAATATATATTGCGCGGCCACCAATAAGAAACAAAAATAGAAAACTACGAAAGACTCCTACATGTTATTCCAAATATTTATTCTTGGACATGGGCTCAATATTTTTTCTACTTCAAAAAATAATTACGTACACAAGTGAAAATGTCAGAATTCTATAACTGGGGCAAACAGATTGTTTCCAGAGTTCTTAATGATTTTGAAAAGAGTGAAATAACACCCATTTTAGTTGATTTTAAATTGCACTAGCTGGCTATTTCGAATTTTAACAAGCTCGTGCACATACGCTGCACAAACCGTCATCATTACTTTTGTTTCATATATGTAATGGAAATAGAAAAGACTTGCATATACAACCTGGATGTAGTTTGCTCGCATGAATTCAAAAAAAAATTCAAGACCGCCAAGTTTTAGGGAAAAACGAAATGGAAAATTTGGCCATAAATGATACCCATAAATGGCCTCCGAATTTAGATCCTAGCTCTTGCAGCTGTTGCTTGACTTTATTATATACTTTGTCACAATCTTCACAACCAGTGACGAAATATGTGTCAGAAGAATGACTTCTGAATCCTACATTCACCATTTGGACCTGGTGCTGTTGCGGGAAAGGATTGACTTTCATTTCAACTAGATCCTCTACTACCACATTGCCATCATCAATCATCTTTTGAAGTTTATTCTGAAACACCACACAGTCGTTTATGGTGTGAGTCCATGGCATGTGGTATTTAGAATACGTTTTTCCAACTAGATTTGTTGGCTTTGCTTGTCTATATCCCCTTCTGTACTGAATATGGCCTTTTTGGAACATGTCATAAAAAATGCCTCTTGTTGCGATATGTCGAAAGAATATACTCTACCAAAGTTAGCTCCGTCAGCTTGCCCTGAGATGCCTGCCGAACCTACCGGTGGGGGAGTATTATAAGAATGTGGAACTGTAGGGCGACGTAATGCGTCACACGTGTAGTTACGGACATTGGCGATTTCAGCAGCATTAACCTCGTATTCATCATCGTCCTCATCATGAACCCATTGACTTTGATTCACTTCTACTACTGGAGCTTTGTTGAACCATTGCTTCATCATGAACCCAGGTTCTTCTCCCTTTTATCTTTAATGACTTTCTCACATCTTCTTATAATATCTGCCAAATAATTCAAGGATCGAACAGAATGTGGTGCGACAGCCAACTTGACTTTGTAATCCTGAATTCCAGAAATTGCCATCTTGACAATAGTTGGCTCATCATACTTATCTGGGATCTTAGCATACATTTCACGAAAGCGTATCAAGTAAGCTTCTGCAGCTTCTCCAAACTTCTGTCGAATTTCTGAAAGATCAACGATTGACAATCATGTGGTATCCCTACAGAAGTAGGACAAGAATTCTCGCTGCTGCATTTCCCATGACCGGATAGAACCTAGTGCTAATGATCGATACCAGTCAAAAGCGGTCCCTTTTAGAGAATAAGGGAACAAACGCAACTTGATTAGAGCATTGTTGCTTACTGACCCGCACTGCAATTCAAACAGACTTATATGGTCTTCAGGTCTCTTCTCATCCTCTCCTAAAAATTGCTGAAAATCGGGAATCTTAAAGTTCCTTGGCAATGGCTCCCATTAAACATAGCCGGGATATGACTTCCCTGGAAGCTTTGGAATTTCTGTGCCCAGCTCCTTACGGATCTTGTCTTCTATCGTTCTTGAAAACGCATCCTCAGCATTTAAAGTCTGATCAACACCTGTCTCAAAATTCTGTTGCTGATTATCGTTCGCTGCTGCGTCCGGTTCTTGTCAAATTTCGTTGCCAAGATCAACCCGATGACGACCACCTTCTTGGCCCCATAAACGCTGGTGACGTGGGTTGTATCTATTTCCCAAATTCTGGTTTCCAATATGTCTTCCAATAGCTTGTGCCCTATTTCAATTCAAAATCTTATTTGCTTCGTATTCCATCCACTGTTGTTCCTCTCTATTCTCTTCAAATGTTTGATGAGGTGGAACAATTTGCGGATCAGCAACCACAACACCAGAGCCTTGAGATATGTGTGGATCATCCAAATTTGCAGCTGCAATATTATTTCCTGGTACTCGGTTATGATATAATATAAAGCGGCGGTCATTGGTCGCTTGTACGTGTTGACCAGCCTGCCTTGCATTTTCACTAGTAGCACCTTGATTGTTTCCCGTACCAACGGGGCCCTGATTAATTGTTACACCTGCAGTTCCTTGGACACCTACATCTGCTGTTCTCTGTGGTATGTACGTTAGTCTAGGTGCACCTTCTTGTCCACTCAGTTGTGATAGGACCACCGCTGATCCTTGTTGATGTTGCATTGGGAAAACTTGCTGTGGAAATGCAGCATTTTGCAACTGAAATTGATTCGTCTCTTGCGCATTCCTTGCAACAGTATTATTTGTTGCATTTCCCACCTGTTGCATTCCTGGAGTCACTAGCCACGACGCCTGGAATCTTTGATAGGGTAATTGTTGCCCCCATGACGTTCCAAGCATCATCACTAGTGTACCATATTGAGGAGAAAATGTAGGCTACTGCCGTTCATCAAAAGTAAAATTCCCTGATGGTGACACAAAAGCTGGCTGACTTGGAACAACTGGGTAATACCAACTGTGTATTCCTTGTAATGCTGCATTCTGAGATCCATTATTACTTGGTCCCGCTCTGAAATTCTGCACCGGAGTATCTGTTACAGATGTCTGGAATATGGCATGATATAAAGGATTATTAAGCATACTGACTGGTGGCAGTCTGAACTAGCTACACCAGTAGCCGTATTAACTCCTGACGTCATAGATCTACTAAGTGCAGCACTTCTTGTGTTTGCATTATGGTCAATTAGCCTCTGAAAAGCATCCTCAAAACGCTCCACTAATGTAGCCATAGCATGCTCTATTTCTGAAAATCGTTGATGCAACATCTCAGGGGTAATCCTTGGAACCTGAATCGTTTGGCCCTTGATACTGAACACAGGAACCTGAAACAACGGGCTCTGAAAGGCTGGAGTTTGAAACCCTGGACTTCTATATGACCCGAGATAACTCGATCTTTCTCCAAACAGACCTGATCCCACATTGGACTGTTGATGGCTAGATTGTTGCCGTATCCCAGTGGACTGATCTGTTATTACTGTTGAATAGGAATCCACCACCGAAATGTTCAGAAGCGTATTCATCGGCAATGAACTCCCACCTGATGCAGAAGTCTGAATCGGTATAGAGCCCTGTCCTGTCGAATGTGCTGTTGCTGATGACTGAGGCAATGACATCGTTTTTTTGCTTAAACAACGCCTGGAACAAATAAATCGATCCTAGTGGACGTGCCAAATTTTATGTTTGAGTCAAAATTGTATTTTATAGTTGAAACCGATTTGGCTCAAACTAATTTCAAGCGACCACGTGATATTCTCAAAGTCCGTAAACTAAACACTGAAATTGTCTTAAATAGGATGATACCTTTGAATTGGCACTCAACTGAATAATGAGAAATTCTAAGAAATGGATAAAACGTCTTGCCAGAGCCTGGTTTATTGATTGAATGAGTACGAATCGGCTTTAAATAGCTTGAATCGTCGAAATAATTACAACGTTTAAAGTTGAAACATAAACGAATACATAAAAACTTAAAATTGCGAAGAACAAAGCTATAAAGGAAAATATGATTTCTGATTCTTGGATAATGAGTTTTTTTTCCCGGTGCCTCCTTCATAGCTTTTATACAGATTCCGCCAACCCTAGCTAGGTTGCAAAAGAAGTCAAATTCCGCAAGGATTCCTGTTGCAGCTGGAATCCTTCTTTGATGTGGACTGCTGCGTCATTGACTCCTTTTCGGATTCGGCTTCCTCGCTGTCATTAAGGTGCGTGCTGCGATCGGCCCATTCTCATGTGGACCAGATTTTTTCAAAAATCGGTCCATCACATATTATTTCTATTGTGGCTCGGTTTGTATAAAGCGTGCTGCTAGTCGGTTGTGTGCGCTTGCGTTGTGCCATCAAGGACTCAAAAGTTTTTTTGGTCTCGGATTTATTTATGATTTGAGATGCCTCCGAGATGTAAGAAACATTGGTTTGTGGCTGCGTTACAACAATTGGCCATAGAAAAAGCACAACTTCCTAGCCGACATAAGAAGTATATCTACAAGACATCACATCGACAACACCACCGATGAAAGTATTTGCTCGAGAGGGAATTGTTCTGCCGCAAGAACTATCATCACCTTGATAAAGAGCCACAACACCATAGTAGGTCCAGGGTTGATCACAAAAGATGGCAACACAACAAGCCGATGAATAAAACGACAGTCACAACGGCTCCCCACCACAACAATTTTGTCTGTGACAAGAAGCACCAGCAGCTACTGCAACGACTAGTGCCAGTCCAAGAGGAGATTATACTTCACTTCCGGCAATACGTTAGGGCTGAAATCCATATCATTAGGATGAGATTGGAACGACTAATTGATGAGCGTTTGTTGACTTGGAATGATCAAGATTGGGAGTCTGATTCGGGTTATGATATTTTCGCCATTGAATAGGATCATGATCCATGGGAGCATGTTGTTGACTGGGACCGTCCCCCTGTGTATGATAACTACAATGATGACGAAGTGAACGTAACAACATACAAATTCGGCACCTGTCGAATGCAAAGGAGGACATCATTGTTGCTCCTGTTTCCTTTGCTATGATTTTGGGAAATGCTGTTGTGGAGGAGCTATGCAATCCACCACTGGTTAATTCTTCACCCCATGCAGTGAATGAAGGATTTGATGTTCCTAGCCATTATTATTCTTCTGTTCCTCCAGTTCATATGTTTTACGTTGCGCCGCGTAGAGGACGACTTTTTATTGCAATGACACAATTGGGTGATCCTTCTACTCCTCAATTTGGTGATTTTTCTCGTGTGCAATAGGTAGATATGGAAATCTGGGATATCCTTTTAATTTCTTTTAGTAGATTCTTACTGCACCCATGTCCTTGTAAACGTAAACTTTCAGCTGGTTTTCCTTTTGATCGTGGCAAACTACCTATGCCTAAACTCAAGGACGAGTTTTTTTTACCCCGGGAGAATGATGAGGGACGGAAAAACAATAGATTAGGGTTATAATATTTTTGTTTATGGATATTTTCTTAATTTTAGTTCAGCATATTAGGGTTTATTTCTTTTATTTTCAATTTAAGGTTTTAGCTGTCATTATAAACATTGGTGGTTGATTTATAAAATTATTGAGCGTTCATCTCTTTTCCAGAAACCTTGGTCCAATTTGTTTGTGGGATTTTTGATGCCCTTAACAACAGATATTCGTGCGTCGAATCAACAGTATTTAGGAGGGTTGTATTTCCGGGTGTTCGCAGAATCAACGGATCTACGACGGTTACTTGTTAGAGTTCGAGATTGAAGCTTCTGCCACTGCATCAACATGTCACTGTTTCATAATGTGTTGTGTCAAGCTGATCTACCTCTATTAAAGTGGGATAGTGTAGTTCATTTGTTTTTTTTTCTTTTTGTTTCCACTAATGTTCTAGCAAGACATATTTTTTATTTTTTGTGCATTGCCGCCATAAACCCCCAATAAAATTCGATAAAGTGAAAATACGTATGTGATAAACCTATTAGAATGAAAGAGGCAGAGAGAACAGAATAATTCACCCGTTCAAAATAATCTAATGTGAATGTTGAGATCAATTTGCTAGAACTTTCAAATTCGGCAACAATTCAAAGATAAAGTAATTCCATAGAGGTCTTCTTTCACATGACTTCAATATTAGTTGTTTGAACGCTAGAGTTTAGGCTGCAATTCAAATGGTTCTTTTCCCGAGTGGAATTTGCCTGCTAAAGGACGAATATTTGTTTTAACTAAGAAAATAATAAATTAAGCACAATTTGTATCAATCAAATGAAATTTATATTTTCACCCTATACATTCAATTCTTATCTACTGGAATACACAAATAATAAATATAAAAATTGTGTACCGTGCATATGTCGTGCCCAAACAGTGAGTGGGTCAATGGAAAAAAAAAATGAATATGAGTTGCAAAATCTAGGACTAGGTGTTTAATTTATATCCCGAAGAATGCAAGAGACTTAAACTCGTAAGAGCAACCGATAAAGATTTTCTCCACATTGAGCTTCCAGACCGAAATCAAAACCTGCCACCGTATCAAAATTATCAAGAACTCCATAATACAAAATTGGTAAGTAGCCAGTTTGCATTTCATGACCAATACCCCTACAGTAGAACACGAGCCAGATTCACTTTTCTCCAAATAAGCAAATTAACATATCTTAATGCAAATTTACAAAAGAAAGATCCATTTCACTTCAAAAAAATGAAAAAGAACATAAACCACCACCTCTAATCCACAAGGCCTACGTATCAATTACTAATACTGTCTAAGTTTAAACATCATCTCTAAACACAATTGTACTGGGACATATAAAAGATCTAACAATGCCATAACCAAAGTATTGATTTCGAAAGAAATACAGTTTTTTGCATACCAAAATAGGTGAGAGGAACAATTCCGAACCAAAGTTTCTCTGTGTAGCCCATGAAAGCCTTTCACATTTAGATTCCACATAGATTTCCAATTTCCCAGGTATAGCAGCATCCATCCAGGGGATGTGATGAATATAAATAGCAGCTTCTCCTCTTCAAACAGAAAACAAGGAAATTTGGCATTTGAAAAGCTAACTATCTGCATGTACAAAACCAATTTAATAGGATGCGTAAGAAATCCATTATAACAAATAAATCCATTATAACAAATAAAAAAAGCCTTTTCCTGCTGCAGTAACAAACAAGGGCAGGGACATGAAGCCAAGAGTTTCAAAATTTAATGGCATTAGACTAGAACACTTTATCGAGTTGTGTAAGACTGCAAGGAAACCGTTGTAAAAGTAAAATAAAAAGGACACGGCAACATACTATTTGTACAAGGTAGAATCCACAAATCTTGAATCGGCACTGACAAGAGGGCGAGGAATTCAGGGTACTATTCAATCTTCCCTCCCACTAGACAACCTTAACATCAAGGATTAAAAAATATATATAAACTGAAATCACACAGAAAAATACATATGCAAATGTGATTTTATTCCAAGCAAATATACCTTAATTTTTGCTTGCTGCAACAAGTGAAATGAAACCATTAGCAGGTAACCTCTTCAGTAAACAAAGAATGAAAGTGATACAAAGAGATGAAGTATCTCAAGCGTACTTAGAGGCTTTTGCCCATGCAGAAAAACATGCTTTCATATGTGTTTTGGGAGATCTACCTGCAGTATATGATAACAAGGAACATAAAAACAAAGCAATCATCCAAAGTAGAGGATTGTCAAATGGTTTATGCGTATGGCAAAATTCCAAAATTTCCATAGCTCAATACAAGCCCAAAGTTTTAAGGAGATCTTAACATTATTGATACTATGAAAAATTTTATTTATTTGCAAACAAAATCTCCTTGCGAAGACGACAAGTGTTTCTACTAAGCCATTTGCCAAATAATATGCCTTAGATTAACCCAGGAACATTACAATTAGAACGTAGGACTAATTTTCAAAGCAATTAAGTAAAAGGATAGAGACTGGCATTTCATAAAACATTTGCCATAGTACAAGAATTAAATAAAGAATGAGAATTAAACTTACAACACTCCATGTAGCAGGAAACTCACATGTAGAAAGCAACCAGGAACCTGTACTATCTGAAAAATCAAAATCTAGCAATCTAAATTTCTGTTGGACCATTCTTTCATAACTGGAGCCAAATTGGCAGCAGGACCTAAAGAAGAGCAAACCTGCATAACAATACTTTTGACTTGCTCCTTTTCAGTTTCATCAGTTTCTTCGTGCACAAGTCGCCAATCTAATGAGCTTGACTAGTTACTGCATTTAACAGGAATAGCTGATCAACGAAAACAATGCTGCAGTTTGAAAGGATAACTTCAAAACCAAAATGAAGAAAGGGTTGTAACTTCCAGACTTTGTTGGAGAAATTTATGGATTGTATTAAGGAAACTTAACAAACCTTGCTCTTTGAGAACAATGAGTAGGTGACGACAAAGAAAGGAGAGAGATACATCACTGGGAAATTCATCTATGATATCCCTTAGCTATTCCATGTACCTGCAAAAAATCAATCAAACTGGACATGTTAGAAATTCAGAGTAAAACATATGGCTAGAATTAGGTTAATGCTTTACACATGTTGAGGCAAAGCTTAAGTTTTCTGCTTAAGGATTCTCAAGTAGTTACAGAGTGTGAG